TCATGGGCAGTGATGATAAGAAAAAATTAAGACTGCTATGATGTTTAAAAAAAAAAAAATCAAGAATGTGAATGATGAATAATTTTCCTTTTTCTTTTATATTTGATCTAAATTAAATCATATTCATACTAAACAATACCGAAATATTGAAATTGCAAAAATGAAAATTGGCTCATGCATTAAATAATATAATGAATTACATACATTACTGATATTCCTTCTTTTTTTTCTAAATTTTTGTAGTTAAAATTTTTTACAATTATATACTGCACTACCAAATGAATACACATTTCATATGAATATCTTTGTAGAAAATTTGAAAAAATTTTCCCCACTTTAAAATTCTATTTTCTTTCATTGCTGTTTTACGGAAAATTTTCACAATCTTTATTTAAATTTCTTACTTTAAGTACCAAAATATAATACGAAAAGTATGAGAAGGAATACAATTTCTGCATCAAATAGCATATTCGCCTTCCCAATTGTGTCATCGAGCACATGACACTTGACAACCAAAACAAGGATGTTTTAAAACTACCATGACTTTTCACTTTTTATTTTCTCCACTCTCTTTCTTCCCTCTGATATTTGCCAAATAATTTCTAATGCATCACTATCAAACATCACTTCTAGCGATTGTATATTTCTGTCCTTTGAAGTCGTGAAATTCTCTATAATGAAAATTAATCATGTTTAATATTTTACGTAATTAATTAATCAACCATTCTACGATCGTCAAAATTTTTATATCTGTAAATTAACAAACAAATATATCAGAAAAAAGTCTAATAATTATTATGCCATTTACAGATCAAAAAATTAGTAAAAAAAAAGCGTGCCGCTTTTTTCTACATGTGTGTTAATTAATTAATTATTAAGGAAGCAGAAAGAAATGGAAAAGTTAATGCATTCCGAATAAGCACACATACAACTATTTAGCTTCATTTATTGCTTTCATCCTCTTCCCCCACTTTATAAAGTATGTGAAATAAAAAATAATAAATAATGAACATTCTAATTCTAAAATATAGAAGCAAAATACTTTTTTTTCAAAATAACTTTCAAGCATTAAAAACTCAACATTTTAAAGCTTTAAGTTTTAATTCTTTTTCATTTATAATCTTGTTTTTTTAACAAAACATCAAACAACAAACTGTACAATGCTTATCATTGTAAAATGTTAAGCAAATTTCAATAGCTAACAAATCAATAGTGATTCAGAACTGAAACAGCAAATAATTAATAATTACGATGTTAAAATATGAAAAACTAGAAATAAAATTTAATGCAAGTGATAATTCACCAGTCATAAAATTATCAATTTTATTTTTCATATTGAAGAAACAAAATTTATTGATTGAAAATTGAGAAAGCAAAAAACACATATATTACTACAAAAAAATTCACAAATACTGTAAGCGTAATGTTCATAGTAGGACATATTCATTCGATAATTTAGAACAGATGTAAACTGCAAGACGATTATAAAATGTTGCATTATTATAAATGATGAAAAAATACGAGCAAACTACTATCTAAAAGCATCAATTAACAGATCATTTAAATCTATCTAACAAAAAAATTTTTTTTAGTATACAATTGAAAATGAAATCAAATTTCGACGGATCATTTTATTACATTTGTTAATTGAATTCATTCATAAATGAATGAATTCAATTAACAAAAATATCATAGCTAATGTACCTTGTGATAATTGTTTGAATTGGATTTATCTTACAGTACTGCTAGCAATCTATTTTGTTCATAGCTTATTCAGCAAAAACAAACATAAAAAAAAGAAAGAAACCTAAAAAAGATAAAAGTTTACAAGAATTGCACAGTAGTAGTGAGCGAAATGCAGGAATGTTTGAAATTTCAAGATTGTCTTTAAGCTAAATATATATTTAATTTTTGGAGGAAAACTTTTGTAATATACGATAAAATGATTAAATCTGAATTACATTATACAGAAATAGTTTAAAAAGATAATACAAAAATATAGTGAGTATATTTTTGAAATTTATCGAATATAATTTCAATATTTATCATATAAAAATTAGACAAATGCAAAATTAATAGTAAATTATTGGATGATTTTTAATTTTATAAAAATTACGATGACAATTCTTAAGCTATTTCGGATTGCATGATTGGATATGAGAGAATACCGTAATAATCATGAGATGTATAACTTGTTGCTGAGATTAATGATTCCATATCTGCATGAGCCGAATAATAGGAACTGGTGATCGAAGTTGACTGTAGCGAGTGAGAAGAGGGACTGAAATGGATTTTTCATTGCAATAAATTTATAGCAATCTTTCTTCTTTTTTTCCTGAAGGGAAGGAGAAAGAGATGATTCAGGAATGATGCGAAAAATTTTTTAGAAGGTATAAAAATGATTAAAATAATTTTGATCGAATAGTAATAAAATGGAAGAAGTTTTAACCATTATTCAGAATCGAATAATGGCTAAAATTTTTTTCATTTTATGATTAAATTAATTTTCCTAATCTGACAAAACAAGTTTTCTTTTTTCAAATTTAGCCATTTTATTTTAAAATGGTTAGTCTATTCTAACAAGCATTTAACGATTTCATCAGTACTTAATTTAAAGTCATCGGATAAGGAAACTCTTCGTTGTTACACAATGTAAATTACCTAAGTTATTTTTTTTTATCGTTAACAAAAGACGAAACAAGATATATAAATGATAAATTTAATGCTTTTAAGGCTATTTTAATCATCATACATTTTGTAAAAAAAAAAAATACCGGTTGTAAAATAGCCTCATTCAAAATATGCTAAAACAGACAATATGAAGAAACCGTATAGAGATTTCTCTAACAGCTTTAGAGGAAAGAAAATAACTGACTATGTTGAAATGACCACGATAATCAATGAATCATTACACATTCCATGATTTTTCTGTGAAAACTTATAAGCGTTTATAAAATGGCTTCATTAGAATTATAAATATTTGAAAAAATTGAAATTATCAGGAGATCCATTTATTGTAACAAACTACGCAACGCAGACACCAATTACCTTTACAGAGAGCCTTGCACAGTCAAAAGTAACAAGCAAAGAAGCAAATTACTTTTAGTTTTTTAAAGTATCCATCATTTACAGAAAAAATAAACTCGACAGTAACAAAACCAAAAAGCAACACATCGATAAATTTCAGCAACATATTTCAGTTGATACCTTTTCTTCCACTCGATAGAATGAAATATTCTTAATAATTAATTGGCATCAAAATATCAAATGCATTTTATACTTGCAGTGCGTTGTACTTCATGCCATACTAGCATATAGTTGTACAAAAAAAATGAAAAGAAGTTAAAAAATCTAGACTTAATGCTTTTGTATCTTAATAAAGCGAAAAGCATACAAATATCGATATAACCATCGAACAATTACTCGGAAAAGCAAGCAATATATAATAAATTCATGAATGTATGCTGGAATGGAAAAAGTTTAAAAAAAAGGGAGATATATTTTAAAAAATTTAAAAAAAGTTGAAATCTAGAACCAGAACAAAAGTATTTCACAACATATGCTTTAATAAAAAACTTAAAAATGATATTACATATTGAAAAGTTTTTGCTGGTAAAGGAATAAAGATATGCCCATAAAATAACATATTCTTAGTTTAAATGACATTTCCAAATCTAAAAGATCATAGAAAGTATTGAAGCAGATAAAACATTTGAATTTATTGCGAATTTTGCAATAAATAATTCATAAAAGAAGGAAGTAACTTTCAGAAGAGATTCCATACAATTATAAATAATTATTTACATCATTTCGTATATAATTTAACATTATGCTATTGATCGATTGATGACGATTAAACGGTAAACAATATATTAAAAAGAAGCCGACTGCATTCAAGGACAGCTAGATTTTCTGCTATCCATACCGGCTTTGAAAGACTTAATACTACACACAGAAGCCACTCCAATTCTAGTCAACTTCTACTCAACGCAACGATAGCTGACAAAACAACAACTTCAGAATTGTTGAAAACGACACATTACAATTTTACAACAAACGGATATTAATTTTAAGCTCTTTAGACACACAAACACGCATATGATACATGCTGTATTAGGAAACAGGAAAATTATTTTAATCCTCAGGAATTAGTCAGTTAATAAAAATTAGTCAGTTAATCAATTCTAATAAGACGATCTATTTTGAACAACAATACCTAATAAAAGTCATTTTACATCATCAGTCGTGATTATAGTGCTGATAGCGGCAATAACAACATTGAAACTAGTAGAATAAACTGGAAAAAACATGAATAAGGAATGAAAGAGGCTTTCAAGCTATACTTGATATATATATATATATATATCAAAAACATAACAATGTCTATAACCATGCTATGATATATAATAAACTTCCTACGTAAATGTTTGCATGCATCATACGATTAGCTGGATGATTTTGTTGAATATCAGTAGCAGAATAGCGGTCGGTAATAATCTCCTCTAATTCCTGAAACTGTATTGGGAAAAGTGTTTGAAGTCATAAAATGATAGCCAATTAGAAATAGACTAGATTAATGGAAGGAAATTTCTAGCTATTATACACTTGAAAACAACGTTAGGAAAAACAGATATTTGTAAAATTATGCCTTTTAGTCTGATATAGAAAAAGCAAAAGAGATAATGAATCCAAAGTTACTTTTCAACATTTTGAAAATAATTTAACAAAAAAAAGAGATAAATCACACCTCAGAAATGTGAAATCCATAAACCGACAGCTAATCATGGAAGTTAAATTGATAAGATAATAGAAAATCCATGCGTTCATTCTCTCAAACAAATTGTATTTTGTTATTCTTGTGTTAATGAGAGAAATACAAAAACGAAAGAAAGTAAAAAAAGATATTCACGCTTTAGAAGAATTTACAAGCGAAGAAGAGAAGAATTAATGCAGCGACTTACACAAGCCTATACCGCTGGGCGATGAAGCATTACAAGCGCTTACAATCTCTGGTTCCGTGATGTTGGTCGAGATAACGGAGCCATTTGATTACTCCTGATTTCATTCACATTCGGCGCCACCACTCCAGTTAGAGTAATGTTATGAGAAGTAACATGAGCGCCATTGCCTGATCTACCAGTTCGTATAACATTACTCATTCCGGTTTCTACGTCTGATGACGGAACAGCTCGTTCCAATTGAGACGCTAAGCCAAATTCACGATTACAATAATGAGCATCACATAACGGTATCTCACGACGCGAAAACACTTTCGCAACAAATAATGCCTAAAATGCATTTTATCTTTTACAAAATAATATGGAAGAAATCACCGGAATCTTTGCATTTTACACTTAGACATGAAATATTATCATGTACAGGATTTAATTTAACCTTTATTCAATTTAATATCAAAATGAAAGTGGGATTTCTTTGATGAAAAATAAAATAACCACAATAATGCCAATTGCAGAACCAAACAATGCGCCAACCAAGACATCCGACCAATGATGCTTATAATTGCTAACTCGAGTAAAGGCTACAAATGCAGCGCCACCGAATAAAGCAAATTGAATCACCGGCAAAAGTAAGGGACTAAACAATGGTCGGTACAGCCGAGCTTGCAAGTAAAGCTGCAAATTAAATCTATCATTTAAAATAATTTTTGTGAGAAACGCTGGAAGCATATTTAATGTATGCAAAGAAAATCGTGCATACGTAGTAGTATATACATTAGTGGAACTGAACTATCATGTTGAATACATTGAAAAAAAAATATAATGTATTCCCAAAAAAGAAAACTTACTGCTACATACCATGCCACATAAAAGCTAAAAGCAGAATGACCAGAATAGAATGAAAGCATAGATTCATGAAGAAGATATTTATCCGTGCCAGTACATTCGAAGTCTGTGATATACTCATGGGTATTGATCGGACACGTTTCAAAACCCTGAAATATTCACTTGAAGTCAAAACTAAAATTTCAGAACTCTGATGTTTAAAGTAATGATTAGAAGCTGACCGAATAAAGAAATAATCATGAGCCAAAAAAAAGCGTAGAAGCGAAGAAATCTCAAAATAAGCAAACCAAAGTACCTCGTAAAGTTATATATTTATGTAACTGATGCATAAGAAGAAAACCGAAATTTGGTAAAAGCTATATGATGGAAATCAAACAAATTCTCAAATTAGCAACTGGGATCAAATTAAATTCAATTATTTTTTATCTAATGGATTCAATTTTAATTTTGATGGAATGTTAAATATAGTAATCAGCACCACAGATTAATATCTGCCATGAAAATATTTGGGAACAAATACTTTATTTTTATATATCACATAATTATATAATTTTACTTGAAAATCACGTAACAATAGGTTTTCTTCTAAAACTGCTTATTTTATTAAAAGCAATCTACATGCTTCTATGCTTTTTGGCTCTTCCAAATTTCAAACTCAGCATATAGTAATAAACCATCCTTCCAGTAAATAATTTCACTTATACTGAAAACAGGAGACTGAGATTAATGCCCACATTTATTTATTTTTAATATTATAATAATGAAAAAGAGAGAAATAGTGAAGTACTGATGAAATGGTTTTATAAATGTGCAGGAAATTGGAAACATAAAAACTGTGATGTCAGAATCGTGAATGAATATTAAAATTTCTTAACAGAAACATGCATCTGCACACAGATTTTGTGCATGTGTGAAGGTGCATACCACTTATTGTGACACAATTTGTATGTGAAGGCAAGAAGGTGCTTCGAACACATGAACAAAACAACTTTTAATACTTACCTTTAAAACAGTTGACGATTTGGAATAAGCCTATGAAATATAAAAATCTCTAAATCAATAGACAAACAAAAATTTTTCCATCAAAAAATGAAGAGTTTAATGCAAAATGAGGTGGTTGATTTCAGAAAACTTCATGTAATCGATAAATCAATCATAATGATAACTTTTTCAATGCAATCATTCTTAATGGTCTGTGCTCCTCCTTTATAAGTATCTTCCGATGTTTTGCAAGAAGTATGCTATAGTAAAACATAATCATTGATAGATACAAGAATTCAGCAACCCATAAATTAAGAGCCAAGAAATCTTCAATGTACTCAAATGATTTATAAGTAATATCCAAAATCCACCACTATCCTTTTGCAAATTTAACTCTTCATACTTACACGTCTGAACGCTAGAGTACGATTACTAGGTGATCCACCAATAGCGATATGCTGAATTTCCATGTGCTGCAAAAAATTTTAAGAATGACAATGCGTGTTCCGATATGACGCTAACTTCTACTTATTAAACTAATCAATCATTATATATTAGAAGTAAGCCAGTAATTGCGAGCATTATAAAGTATAATTCTTATGATTAACACAGTAAAGTAATACACTGTTAATTCTAAAATAGAAGCATAAGTATTACACATTCAGCTGTCAGTGTGTCATCATTACAGCTGACATTAGTAATTACAAAAGTAATGAACCAAATCACAAACTTTAAACTCACAGTTTAATTTCATCAAATTTAAGCTTTTTTTTTATTAAAATTACATCCCTTTAACTGCCTTTTTGTCCGTTTTATTTCTTTAGGAAAGTGCTTCAAGCACAACTTACCACACATTTCACTGATATCATTTTCAATTCTGATGGTATTGAAAACTTGAGAATAATCATTTTTACTGTAGAACTAAAATATTGGGAGCTATTGTAATTGCACCTGAGGTTAAATGCATTAAAAAATGCAGCTATTTTAACCAAAAGAAGTACTAAAATAACTGAGTTAACAAAGACTTCATGCTGATGCATGAAACATGAAGTTGTTCGCAGTGCAGATCACACAAAACTTTAAGTTAGATATTTGTGAACAAAGTTAAGAAAAGATATAGTGCAACGAAATACATAAATGAATAGTGCCTTCGTATCCGTGAGTGTAGCGTGAAAATGTTAGCAGCGAACTTGAAATATTTGTTTTCTAAATATATGTGGTGAACAAATAAATAGCGTGCTTTAGGATTTTAAGATATAATAGCGATGTATATATATATATGCCCGAATATTCTAAAATGCACCTTTGGCTTGCAAACTGCTATAAAATGAGGCCTATGACGCCCGATGGTATATTTCGCTATATCGACCATTAATTGATTGAAAATGACACCAAGAAGAAAATATCCTAAAATTTTGGATGATGCAAATAAATAAATGTTTTATACATTTAATATTATTTAGTATTTAACTAAATGTAGATTTACTTTGCTTGCCTCATGAAAATCACGCCCATAATCGAAAAAAGAACGAAAAAGTAAATAAATTGCTGAATATCATAATAAAGTGATGGTAAACCAATATTTTTAAAAACCAATTTTTAAAAAGTAATTTTATACAAAAAAAGAAAATGAACGGTATGCATCACTAACACGTAGCAAAACCTATACTCACCAAAGAAAACATAAAGACGAACAATGAGACGTGGAACCGTATATCGTCGACAATGGTAATACAAGAATTCGTTTCTACATTTCCGTTCCCATGCTATCAAACGAAATGTTTCTGTTGTTATAATCTGGAATAGACTTATTATTGAATTAAATATTCTATATATTTATTGATTAACATTATCAAATCGCAGAAATTTTATCGAAACATTGATTTTGGGATCAAAATTTGTCACGAATAAGATCGGATTATTAATTCCTCTCTATGCAAAAAGATAGTTCATTGTTCTTATCTGAACTTTGGACGAATCTTCGCAAAAATAGGACGAAAAAAAAAGAAAAGCAGAAAAGAAAGTAAATTGCTTTACAAGAACTGCCGGCACAATAAGACCGATAACAATAAGCATTTGTCGAGTAACAGTAGATGGTCGATACGGATATCGAATTGATTCGTCATCACAATAAAAGCCGCGTTTGTATGGTTCAACCCATTTGTGAAATATCAGTAATGGTATAGCTGAAATTTTGCAAAAAATTTCATAAGAAATATAACAAAACATAAAACTACAAGTAATAATTATAGAAATCCAAACTGAACAAATGTTAAAATACAAGCTATCAGTTGTATTATTTGCTGCAAATGCTAGAATTCTACTTAATAAAAGCAAAACTTTTTTAGGAGAATGTTTGATATAACTTATGCATACTACTACTCCTTGATAAATGTAGAAAAAAAAAGAATGCTACCAATATTACTTATAAACAAATGACAATATTATATTCACTAATGATGTCATTCGAAATACACAGATTTTCTGTCATTAAAAAATGCATTTACTACTTCTTTAAAATGCTTATAAATATTAGTAGTAAAGATATGCTGGAATACGAAAATAAACAATACCAACCACAAAATGTTAGAACAGCAAAATCGGCAATAATTCTTGAAATACTAAGCTCGACCATTTCGTTTTCTTGCCCTATTCTGTCCTATCTTTCCAAATGAATCCGTTTAATACAATATTTACATCCGCATTATACAGGAAGAAGTATATAACGATCGATCTATTGGATCCTTTTTGAATAAGTTATAGAACAGTGATCGATTATCCCTGAAATAAAACGAAAAAAAAAATCATTAAATACGTTAAAACTTCTTAGTTGAAATCAATAACATTCAGTGATATTCTACAAAAAATAGTTAAAAGACAAAATATGTGGAATCATTAGGATTAAAAATATTGTTCACCAATTACTATAATGATAATAATAAAGTTGATCAAGATGCAATCCTGTGAAAGCTATTAAAAAGGCTAAAGAAACAATAACAAAATTGGGATAATCAGTAAAAATATTAACATTTCCATTTTTCTAATATTTCAAATAAATCTGATAAGAATGAACATTCCAAATAATTTTCAATAGTGAAAAAAATGAAGGATAGATGTGTTCTTATATTGTTCTTATATTCATGTACAAAANAAAAAAAAAAAAAAAAAAAACAAATGTTCAAACTAATATGTCTCATTCTACTCTATGATCGATGACATCTCTCATCATCCTATATGCAAAGTTACCCCAACTCTCCCATACATATTACATTCATCCCCTAACTTAATCGATAGCCAAAATGTCATTTTCATCATCCATCTTTACAATCCTTTCCTCCGTTCATGTTATCCTTACTTCTGATACATAATGAATCTTTTCAATCAAATCTGATTATTTCAAACAATCGACTAAAGTAATTTTCTGAAAAACAAAATAAGAAAAAAAAATTCATATATAAAAAATATGCGCAAGCATGTATATTTCCCCTTTTACTGCCCAAGAAACTACTAATGTAATGTGATGATAAAGCAAGTGATAAGAGTTAACAACTTATAACTTAGCTATAACGTAAAATCATCACTTAGCTCTTTGAAGACATTTCGTCCAAATTTCCGTTTTTTTTTTTAACATATTAAATAAAATATTTATTGTTAAAAGGTAGTAAGGATATGATAATGCGATAATGCTAAAGACGATAAGTGTAATAGTGATAAGAGGATTAGTCATTAAACGATATTGTTGGTGGATTCTTTCTTTCTCTCCCTGACCATATTCTCTGCTATTCCATTAAAAATATCTGACGAGAGTGCGGCACGTGTGCAGTGTATACGAAGAAATATGTATCAATGAGAAATTGAGAAAGCGACAGCGCCGTTTAGTGTGCCTTCGAATTATTGAATTTCATTCGCCTCAATCTATATACAATATATCTCATTCACCTATTCTAAAATCCTCTTGTGGAAAAAAATTTAAAGCGTTCACGAAATTGAACAAAAAATACTTTAACTCTTTCAAATCGATCAATTAAATAATGTCAACACACAATATAATTAAACAAATTAATACTTATTATACTATTTCATTTGATCATCCTTGTGAACAGCTATCCTGTAAATTTGAAAAGATTTTGTAAACTTTGCATAAATGAATCATAGAACAAACTGAATTATATACATAAATACACACACACACACACACACACA